ATTTTTTTAGGTGGGCAATAATTTTTTAGATATAGCATATTTTGAAAGAGCTTAAAGATATCAGAAGGATCATCCTACGCACAGTAAAATAAGAAGCAAAAAAGGATTATTGTGTGATGTTCTATTTGATATTCAAACTTATACATTGGAAAATCAATAAGGATATTAATACAACTATCAACATCATTTGTTGAAAGCGTTTATTTTTTCTATATTGTAAAACTAGGTGTAATCTATGAGATTCAAAATTTCACTATAATCACATGATTTGTACGAGCTTTTTCACATTATGATATTACTCGATGTATTTTAAATGTCACTCGAACAACCACTAATATCTATGGTAGAAGAAGCATTTTTCGAATTATGTAGAGGTACATAATATTTTCTTGTGGCTAGATTACATATACATTGTATTTTTTGGACGATTATATTCTTACTGTAGTTCAATTATTCCAATAATATCTTGTTTTTCGTTGTTTAACATTTATTTAATTTAATTAATCATTTGAACAATATTATCATGAATTATTTTGTCAACTATTTAATTATTATCAGTATGCATTTGATGGATTCATTCCACTTGATTGAATGATAAATTAAATACGTTAACTTTTTTAGAACAAAAGATGATATTTTGAGAGTTTTATTCAAATTAATTTATTCAATGAATGTTAAGATGTAAATAAAGTACATTGATTTTTCTGACGGATTCATTTCACTTGATTGGATAGTAAATTAAATCCATTATAAAAATTTGAAACAAAAGATGTCTTTTGAGAGCTATGTTCCAATTGATTTATTCAAAAATAATGTTAAGATCTTGAGAGGTAAATAGGGGACATAATGCGTATTTATAATAAAATAATTCCAATTGATATATTTAATACTCATTGAGTGAAGATGAAGAAATGACATTATTAGTTGGATGTTAAATTCAAATCAAATTAGTAAATGGAGTGACTATTCTAATTGACTTCCTTAACTATTCAATTGAATCACAAACAATACCTCATGCCGGAATATATCTTCAACAACATATATTCTCACATGAACAACTACGTTCGCTTTAGTCAAGTCAGATATCTTAATCACACAACAATATTGTACACAAGGAGATTTCGCATTCAATAAAAAGTTCATTACACACAAAACAATTTGTATTAACTATTTTTTATATTCACACATCTTCAAATATTACTTTCATGAATAAAATTACTTGTAAATTCTTTGTGTACATTAAGTTTGAGATTCGAAAATGTGTCAAAACATGTGCCACTGATTGTTTAAATTGTTGTTAAAATCAATGTATAAAAAGTTGTCACTTTACAATAATGTCAAATTTGATATACATGTAACAAAATTGTACTCTTATAGCACTTAAGTAAGAAGGTTTTAGGTTTCCCAATTGATATTAATTTTATTTAATTAACAATCCTATAAAGACATGAAAGTAAAACTCACACACATCACAAGGC